TATATATATATATATATATATATTTGACCACAAAACCCTTTTATTATCCCATGGCTTTTCAAGTATCACAAAAAAATGTATTTATAACTGCGACAATTCTCAGAATTAAATTATTATTAATAATAATAGTCGTTCATAATCATTTAGTTCTACCTTTCGAATAGTGTAAAAAAGGCAATTGTTGTATGAAGTATTCTCCAAATGATCATTTATATAGTAGCAGTAATACATAATTTCTTTTGTGTGTAAAATTGCAATAATCTCTTTATACACACTTGGACATTTTCACATTTCTGAATCGTACATAATTTAAAAAAATATGTGTTTCACATCAGCAAGAATACATGGAGTGTAATATTGTTGTCTTTTGTGTTGCTGTTTCATTTTGCACATTTTGATGCTCGTGTGTGTGTGTGTGTGTGTGTGTGTGTGTGTGTGTGTGTGTGTGTGTGTGTGTGTGTGTGTGTGTGTGGTGAGGCAGCCCTGTGCAGACTGCTGTCTGAGTGTTTGAGTTTGAAGTTTTGAGTATGTGGTTGAGGTCGTGTGTGAGTGCTCAGCGTATTCTTACTAGTGCAACTCAGTGAAAATGAGTCATTCATGAGTACAACACAGCAATAAGCCACCGACACAGTGCTTCATTTGTTAAGTGGATAAATTGGTATTTTAGATTATGTGATTTTGTTTCATTTATGAGCTTGCTGTGATGTTGTGAATTTCATCCAATTTCCTCCTGGCTAATATGAAATCCAGATTGGAGTGATGAATGGGGGCCAAGTCACCACTCACTGTAAATATATTTTTGTGCCATAATAATGAAGCCGCTTTGAATTCTGCTGCTTAAAGCGGCTTCAGTGTGCTGTTAAAAATACAATAAAACTGAGAAAGCCAACATAATGGAAGTTATATTGTATGTCTGAGCTCTCTGGAGAGCTGTCAGGGTTTGGGATTGTGTTGTCCTACTCTGCTGTCTGGGCTTGCTCTACAAAAACGCATGTAGCACTCTTAAGTTGAATGTATTCACAGGTTCACTGTAAACGTGTTTTCTATGTTTAAAGAATGGACATTTTCTAGCACGTTTATCTCACTGTTTATTATGTGATCAGATATTTCTTAACTGCATGTCTGTTTCTATTAAACTTTTTACACTACTTTCCCACTTTTTAGTAAATGGTTGTGTATATTAAAGAAAATACATAAAAAAATTAAACCTGATGTGATTTTATGTCGATCTAAAATGAGTTCAAAGCATCAATATATTGATCCATCCTATAAGGTGCAGGATTCTTACTGAAGCAGTAACACTATGCAGCAGGTCTGCATAGTGTTACTGCAGCGCATCTAAAGGTCAAGGTGAATTCCACCAAAACCTGCAATAAAATGCTTTTCACTGTGCTCGTGTAGGCATCGTAGCGCCTTCAACATTACAGTTAGAAAACTTTTAAAGGGGGCCCTTTATTGCAGTCATGCCGAGTCTCTGTATTAGAAGATGACCAGGCCCCCTGTTGCTCTCCTCAACGTGGAAGAATCCATGAGTGGATCTACAGTGGCCACTACAGGCTGTGGCACACATAGGAGTTACAGTACACGAGAAAGTAGGCCAGGCCTAAACAGAGAGGAGAGAATCTAGAGAAAAAGTCCTCAATGCATGCACACACACACACACAAAAACATATACAAGAATTTTCAGTGTTCTGGTCAACTATATAAGTGCTGAAATTATGTCATAAAAACTAAAAAAAAATTATAAAACGCTGGGGAAAAACCCAAACTATGTATAGATTAACACCTAAGCTGTGTATTGAGGTGTGTTTATCTGCAGCACCACTCCTACTTTATCCGTATTTTATTTTTATGTGGTTATGTTTGGATGTTTCTGCACCGGAACCTTTGTGCAGTCTGTGTCGGTGTGTAGTCCTCGGGCAGTGATTGCAGGCAGGGTGTGAGGGCGGGACTCTGTGATAACACAGCGACCACGAGAACATTCGGTATACTAAAACATACAGACCCATTCGTGTTACAGAGACAATGCGCAACCTCCACGGTTTTGATGCTTGTGTTTGCTTCAGTTTGCTACTGCTTCTGCTCGTGTGTCCTTTCATGTTTGTGAAGCATGCGCTGCGTTCACGCAAAATCTGGCAGCGCGGCATCTTTTCGAAGGGTTGCGCAAGTTATTTTGCTCGTTCGCTTCTACTTTAACAACGTGAAGCTATCCAAAACTACTGTTTCATTTCTCTAATTCGCCGCTTTCTTCACTTTTTAGTTTGCTCGATCACTGCTGCTCTTTGTCTCTCTCTTTCTGTTCATTTACAAACAGTACCCAGCTACAACACAATGACAGGCACATATGCTGATGCTCTTACATTCATATTCCTGCACCAACAAAAAAAAAATCCTGCTTTTTCTCACCCATCTCATCATACATGGAAGCCATTAGTCCATTACCCTGCAGACTACTGAGGACTGGACTTTTTTTTTGTTCCTTCCTGTGTTAATCAGGATGTCAGCTGGGAGTGTCACATGTAATTTATCCACAAAACCACAGCAATTCCACAGAGACGGTAAGTACAGTCATAATGACATAATATTGGACTGGGACAAAGTTTCAAGGCATGACAGAAAATTAGAATTTTCCTCCCCTGTACGTATCCCTCTTTTTTTTTTCCTCCAGACATTCTGTAAGTAAAAAAAATGCTTTACATCATGAGCAAAAGTTTGTGTTTCTTTTTTCCCCTCAATTGGACAACTCTCACATTTGAAAACTGTTTTCTCATGAGAGTTTGTTAGAAGTTTGACACATGTAATATCTGAGCATTGTAAATACTCTTTGTTTTTCTCTTCCTGCCCTAATCAAACGCACTGAGGCTGTAATACACAGCATCACGTGCGAGTGTCTCTCGGCACACATCGTCGGGACAGATGCTTGTTTTATGTACCTGCCAGGCAAAGCGATATTCCAGATAATGCTCAGCTGCACCCACTCGGTTTTTTCTTTTCCAGCACTCATATATTTCTTCAGCTTTTGGTCTCTGCTGTCGCCAAGGCAATTTAGTCCGAGAAAAACTGCAGAATCAGCAACCTCGTTCCACTCGGAGGTAAAATTGGAAGTGTTGAAAAGCCTCGCCTGCAACCCTCCCCCCCCCCGACTATCAAAATACTGTAAATCCCTTTCCTTCAGCTCACCTCCACTCCATCACTTTCTACTGCTCGTCACTGATGAGCTAAATTATGTTGGCTGCATTTACTGTTGGCAACGTTTAGTGAACTGGATTGGTTTGGGCTGGGGGTTTTTTTTGGTTTTTTTGCTCATTTTGTTTGACTACAGTTTCTGCTGACTTCTGCCATGTAATACAGAAAATACAGCACTTGATGTTTATGTAATGTGCATATACTCAGGTTTCCTCGCTTGCAATCACCAAAAGGTTTTAGAATTTCGAGTGAAGTACGACAAAAGCCTCCATACCAACACAAAACCCACCGACATAATGTATGTGTAGTTTTCTTTCTATACTCACAGCCATTCATGTGGTATATTCTCATATCATGTTGACTGTCCCATCTGCACACACACAGCCAGGTTCGTGAGTCATCAACATGTATATGCACACAAACAGCATACCCACACATGCACAGAGTGCAGTGGGTGCACAGCTCGGACATGAATCTCTCTCCATGGAGGCTGGAGGAGTTGGGTTACTCATGAGCCCATAAACATGTGCTGGCAACACTCCGAGGTACTGCACTGTAATTACAAACGTTAGAAACAATATATAAAAGACCCTTTGCCCGACAAGGCCGTGCTCCGCGTTGCAATTAGCATCCGTGTCCAGAATTATCACCTTTCGGCAGCTGCCGCCGCACCGAGTGAAGGCCTTAAATCGGCAGTGTCCTCCTGGGCCCGCGAAATTGTCACATTTGCTCTTTATTCTCTTCTGCGCTTATTTTTTACTTGCGCAATCTGAGATTTGGCTAACAACGCCTACCTCTGTCGCCTCGCTTCCTGTTCCACCTCTACGTGATGGCGTCACATGTGCACGGCGCACGATAACCAAAAAGCTACCTTGTACATTAACTCTGCGCAGCCCGCACATGCCCTCTTCTGCGAACCGAGCATACTGCGCTGCATGTGTAAAAGAAAAAAACGAAAAAAGACTTATTAGACTCACAAGTACGTGCAGATGCACCACTTCACCCACGCACATGACACTGTGGGCTTTCGGTAACACGGTGTGCCAAAGCGTGCACATGTATGCAGCGAGTGGGCGCTACCGGGCGAGGCCGAGGCCACAGAGGAGCTTGTGTGCGTGTGAAGTGTGCGGGTGTGTTGGTGTAGGGTGAGCATGAGGCAGTAAGAGTTGGCCGGTGTACAGGCCAGCAGAGAGGGTGCGGTGTGTTACATGTTTCGCTAATGAGCTTCCTTGGCCAGGCAGAAGTGTAGGGTGAGCTTATTAGTAAACAGGCTACAGAGAAAAGACCCTACAGCCCTCTGCCGCTGCTACTGCTGCTGCTGGCTACTCAACCGATCAGGCTCTCCGTCTCCGCTCCTCTCGATTGTGTTTTTCACTTCCTCTCTGTTTACGTTGCTGTAAATTGTCTCTCACTCCCTCCCCCCCCCCCCCCCCCCCCCCCCTCTGTCTTTCCTTCTCGTAGGCAGTGAGACAGTTTTGATCTCCAAGCGCAAACAGTTTTGGCCAGAGAGAGAAATTATGCAAACACACACTGGCGATTGTAAGTACCCCAACGTGTTAGAAATGTTTTGGGCTTTTTTTTGTACAGGATGATGTATTCTGATGCTGTTGGATTGTCTTGCATTTCAATTTCATTGAGATAGGGGCCTGTAATTAAACGCTGTGCAGATTACGTCTCCGCTTTGTCTACATGTATTTTCTTTCTCTTTGTGAGCCTGGAACAGATTAAAATCATAATGTGTTGGGCCTTTATCCCTTTTTTTAGAAAGGCCAAGGTCCCGATGGCTTTATTAGCGCAGCACATTAAGAAAGAAAAAACAAACAAAACAAAGATAATCTTTTCGCGCACATGCGCAGAAAACACTCCGAACTGCCTGCTAGGCAACGACTTGACTCTCCCTCTCTCTCCCTATGCATGGTCCTGAAACTGTTGGAAAATGGCTTCCACTCTGTGCCTTCCAGCTCTCAGCTCCCTGCCGCCATTTTGTGCATCGCTGCCAAAGTAGTCAGGTAGCAGAAGAACAGAGTAAAGTGGGAAAGAACAAAGTGGGTGCAACTGGATGCTGGGTTCAGGGGGAAAAGGGGGGAATAAAGTCTAATAAACTGTGAAAAGGTGTGCAAATTGAGGAAGAGTAGCGCTCTAATGTACAGTGACAGGACCATTAGCGTGCCTATTTCTTATGGGGAAATGTTTTAATTGTTGTTGGCTGATTAGATAAAAATCAAGCGGCCTCCACTCTGGATCACTTCCAGCTCCTCTTTTCAACAAGCTGACCTCGAGTGGACACCATAAACAGGGCCTTTTTTTTCATAGGGGCAAATGTGCGCTGGCAGTGGCCACAGTTGTGTCGCACCCTTGCGCGTTGCCTCCAAGCCCCGCCTGCTTTCTCTCAACATAACCTGCTGTCTTGTAGCTACTTAAAGCCAGTGAATGGATAAAATCTTTAACCTCTGCTTTTTAACCTGTCTCCACCCTAACCACAGTGCACCGAGCTGGAGCTTCAGCCCATAACTGCGGCTGTATTGTACGGACTTAGTAACCCCAGGCACCACCCTGCAATCTATAGCTATAGTGACTGGCTTCCTGCGGCTCTGGAATTCTGTGTGCGCTCCACGTTTGATTATAAGTGCAGATTTTATTAAAGCCCTTCTCTCATTTACAGCCCACAGACACTAAAGCAGGTGTTCAGTAGGTGTATAAAGCTCTCTTGATCCCCCACTACAAGTCTGAAATGACACACACCATTTCTTTTTTTTTATTTTTGTTTGCTTTGCTTCTGGGACTGTTTCAGGTTAACAGCCCAGTATTGCAACAGCGAGTTAAAGAAAAGAAGAAGAAAAAGTCTGGGGTTGGGAGAAAAAAAATCATACATAATATAATTATTGTAAAGTCATAAAAGCAGAAATTATGTTAGAAAAAGCAAAATCGACCTAAGAAGCAGAGGGAAAAAAGACTTGCTTGAAATTGCAAGGTTGGATGAACCTCATCGCACCAGCTCCAAGAACTTTGTTATACATGTGCGTGTGTGTGTGTGTGTGTGTGTGTGTGTGTGTGTGTGTGTGTGTGTGTGTGTGTGTGTGTGAAGAAAGGGGCTAAAGTGTTCCACGGAAAAACAGCAAACATCAGCTATATTGTGTAAATGACCAGAAAATAAATGAGCAGATTGACACCATTCATCGGGTTGTACCTGTTAATAGCGTCAAGTGTTATAAAACCTCCCTCACTGTATCATTGTGCCTCACTGCTGCCATGTAACTGATTTAGACAGTAGGTGCAAAATATAGCAGAGGTCCCTCTGGCAGTAAAACCTGGCCTATTTAGGCCTGTCACATACACGTTCTCTATGAGACAGCCACTCAGTCAGCGGCAGCTCCGAATGCACTCTGTACCCTTTGACTGCTCACTCCTTAATCTGCCCATGTGCTTGCATATGGGACAGAGAGGCCTCCATGTTGTGTTTGTAGTATGAATTATGAATCCTGTTGCATAACCGCGGCCTGTTTCTAGGGCATATCACTACAACATCTACCCAGAGACCAAAGCTTGAATACATTTACCGGCCTAGACCTCTTGGAAATAATACTGTGAAGCTGTGCCTGCCTGCATTTGTTTATGGTTATATGGAGCAGATGGCCATGCAACAGGGTCATGTAGTCACACACTGGCTGCCTCACTTGTACTGTCACACGCACAAACCCCTATAGGCAGAAACGTAGCAATCTTCAAAGCATTGAAGGCGATTGAAGGCACAGCAGTTCATTCAGTCATTTTTCTTTTATACCTCACTGTTTAGGTGTGGGTAGGTGTGTGTGTGTGTGGGGGGGGGGTATTAAAAGTTGTTATCAGGATATATAACTGTATATTCCCATTTATGCTGGCAGCTATCCTGGAACTGTAGGAACTGGTGCTAAAACCTTCTGCCAAATCAATGCTAACTATGGTTGACTGCGCTGTATTTACAGCGTTAGATTTCAGCGGTGAGCCTGACTAAACGCAGCTGTAGCCTGAGAGTTACAGGCTCTTGAAGGTTACAAACTGTGCAGATCCCCATCTGCCTGCTCTGGCCTGCTGTCTGTCAGCTGAAGTTCATATTCAGGGAGAAAGGTATTTGTTCAACCCTCTAAATATAGCTGGTGACAGATGCCGCTCAAAGGGGCACTGCCCATTTGAAAGGGGCCCTGCGAGCAGGCCGGCGCTGAACACAGTGCATGTAGACGTGCCAGAGCTATAGCCTTCCTCTAATAGACAGAGGCCTTGCAGGTCACCAGCAGCCACATGGCAGTGCACATTTCACCAGAGCTCTTTAGAGTGGCAATACGAAGATTAAGACTTTGACTTCGATGAGCAAAAAAAGGTTACTTTTTTTGTATTTTTATACATTTATTTAACTCGGTATCAACGTAACCCACTATGGGAAACTAACACAGTTCAAGTTTCTTAAGACCTGTATCTATAAAAAATACCAGTGTCCTAAGAAGAAGAAGGTGAGGGAGCATACATAGAAATAACCCCACAAAGCATAACGTGAGGGTTAACATCATTTTAAAGTGAAATCATGCACTTCTGTACCATCTATGCAAAATAAAACCAACCATCCACCTTTGAATAAATAATAAATTCTCATTGTTAAGTGCCCTCTGATAACTGTAATTTTGAATGTCTTGAGCAATAATCTGTAGAGTCATTGAAAACATAGACAGGCACCATTACTCAGGGGGCCCAGATTTGCGACAGTGTCAGACACCTGCTTTCAAGCTTTTTTTCTGGGTAGACCTTTGTCTTCAATTCAATTCAATTCAGTTTTATTTATATAGCGCCAAATCACAACAAAAGTCGCCTCAAGGCGCTTCATAGATACAGAGAAAA